ATTTAACACCAAAAGTAGTATTTGATTGTTCCCATTGTATATGGTCTAATGGAGAAGTACGTGTAGTTCGTCATGAGAAAAGCCATCGATTCTACTAGACTTTTTTCGAACTTCTTCTATTCCACTTATGTTGGTCTCATTCAAAGTTAAAACTCCCAAACTAAGCCAGACAGATTTTCATATCTCCTTAAATGCTGTAAATATTGGGTAAATAAGAATTTTTTAAATATTAATAATTGTACTGATAATTTTTTTTTTTTTAAATTTTAAAGAAGTCAATATCCGCAAACTACAATCAAACAAGAAAAGAGAAAACAGAGAAAGAACCCTAACAAATTAAGAGAAAAAGCAAACCAAAAACAACTTTGCACATTGACTACAACAAAATGGTGGAGGGGCACTCAAAAAAATACTAATAAGGGGCAGCTGGAATTGGGGAAGACTAACACCAACTAGCCACCAAAGGCATTATCTGCCTAATATAGTTCACGTACATAAACCTAACCTATAGCAAACATAGTGTAAAACAAACCAGAAAAAGGATTTACCATACCAAAAATTTAGCTGCTAGGTGTCATGCAAGTTGCCTTAATTAGTTCTAATGAGTAACCAAATTTCAAACTCCAACCTTTAGTAGTAGTTAACTACTTCACAATTAAACAAAATCATATACTACTGAGAAATTTTCATAATTAGAATTTAGAATCCAAATGTCCTAAAGAATAAAGATTTAGAACTAATTAAACCCCTAATGTCCTAAGAGTAAAATTATTGTCATAATGTGTTTGGTTAAGAAACACATTTTTGAAGAAATTGCCTTAAAAAATAATTCTTAAAGTTTAGTTGACTAAATCCTCACTTTTGCAACAATTTACCTTCGGAGTTCTAAACCAAGAAGGCACAATAATATGACAGAGAGTGGTCAACTAAACCTTGAGGCGGGCACTCAGCAGCTTCCCTTCCCCAGCTAGGTGCTAAACAAAACAGCAGAAATGGGCTTGAATTCGGGCCCTACATTCTAAAATGAGTTAAAAGCTCAAGTATAAAATAAATGAGTCAATTTCGTACCGGCATGTGTATCGATTTTGTTATTGGAACGATACGTATTGGATATCGAAATTTTTTACATACCGTTTTGGATTTATCGCTATAAATATATATTTTATAAATTAAATATCAAATTCTAAAATAAAATAAGAGATATTAATATTTAAAACCATCATATTCTTATAAATTGAAAACAAATTTAAAATGATTATTTTTAATCCCTCAACTTCTAATATATGCATATTTCTTGTCCATCTACTTTAAATTAAGAGACTAAAAATATGTATATTTAGACAAATTTAACAGAATAATTGATAGAATGACTAAAAAAAAGAAAAAAGGACTAAAAAGTACATAAAAAGTTAAAAGATGAAAATTATGTAAAATATTAAAATTGAGGACCAAAAATAAAATTTACCCCTTTTAAATTTGAATTGAATTGTACGGAACAATTTTGTGTATCTGTAATACTGTGCAATCTAAAATTGCAATTGCAGGGTTTAAGAAGTCCCTAACCCAAAACGACGTCGTTTTGGATTAGGGAATCCTTTTTTTTTTCTTTTCTTTTTTTTTTAAAATTTGCCATAGTATGTACCGATCGAAATTTTGGTGTATTGACTATCAATCGATACACCGAAATTTCGGTTAGTACACCAAATTTTGACCGAATTAATCAAACTTTGATTGAAATAAATTTTTATACTATATTGTTTTGATTAATACAAAAAATTGATACGTATCGATCACACTAATCGATATACTGCATTGACCAACCGGGCCTGAGGCCCAATGGTTAGTCCCCAAGCCTTAGAGCTTGGGTGAGGCGGAGGTCAGGATTTCGAACTCTACCACCGCCGTGAACTCCACCAACTTGCGACCTAATGGTCGCGCGCTTGATATGAGGGGTGGAATGTTCACCATTGGTAAATCCCAACTATTAACAAACTAACTCTATTAA